GAACTGAGTCAAATTTATAAGAATACAAGTCATTCCACAATTGATAAATGGCTAAAGGATAGGAACAGGAAGTTTTCAGACAAAGAAATCAAAGCTATCAATAGTCATGTGAAAAAATGCTCTAAATCACTACTGATTAGAGCAGAGGTGGGCAATTTGTGGCTTCATAGACACATATGACCTTCTAGGTCCTCAGGTGTGGCCCTTTGACTGAATCCAAACTTAATAAAAGGAGTTGATCTGTGAAAATACTCACAGCCCAGGGTGTTCAGTCATTTCATTCATTTCTGACTCTTTGTGACTCCATTTGTGGTTTTCCTGGCAAAGATACTGAAGTGGTTTGCCATTTCCTTTTCCAGATCATTTTACAGATGAGAAAACCGAGGCAAATGGGGTGAAATGACTGGTCCAGGGTCATACAGCTAGTGTCTGAGGCAAGATTTGAATTCAGGAAGATGAGTCTTCCTGACCCCAAGTCCAGCACTCTACCCACTATGCCACCTAGCTGCTCCCCAGAATATCTACTACATACCAACTACTTAATGCAAAAAGTAGGACAGATTCCTAAATATACTATTAAGAGCTTTATAATAAACTGTTAAATTCAGTAATAAACATAGCAAATATTAAGGGCTCTTATGTGGCCTTTCTCTCTCTTCTTGAACATTTTCAATGAAAAGGAAACTCCTTCCTTCCTAACTTAGGGAGCACTCGGATTTCGTGGCTTTTATTCAGTCTTGTGTAACTTAGTCTTCCCTGCTCAACAGTGCCCTAACCTACTGCCTACTTCTGTCTCTCCAGCCTGGATATTCTGAAAATTCACACAGGTGAGAATTTTCTCTTCCTTGGATAGCTCATCATTTTCATGATTTCCAACTACTGCCTCTATGCTGATGACTTCCAATTTCATATCTCCAGCCCTGACATCTCATAAGAGGCAGTACCACATTTTCACTCGCCTAGAAGGCATTTCCCCCTGTATATAGAGTACTGTTATATCACTGAAAGTAATGATGGGTTGGTCATGTCTTGAAAGTGAGGGAAAACTGATAGACAGCTTATGTGATCTAGTGGTATCAAACAGAATACTCAAGGAAGGTTCCTAACATGTTGGGTTGACCCTCTATGGTGAATTTATGTGAAGACATGGACAAAAGTTGTAGAGGATGCTATGGTAGGAGTGGTATCCTAACTCCATCCTACCTTGCAAGCTAAGTATGAAAACTGTCCTCTTGTCCTTGAGATTTGATTCATTCAAGGGACTTGGTCTTGGGACCTTGGCATAGCTTCCTGGTCACCTAAGTACAAAACCAGGCAGGGCACAAGAGACTAGAGTCCCTCCCTCCCTTCCTGAGATTCCTGATGGTAGATTAGCAGCAGGAAAAATACTGGGAAGCTGAGTGACTGAATCAAGGCTTTATCCTGGATTAATACCTTCACTTTCTTGAACTTCCTTTCCCTGCTTCGGCTATGGAAATATGCTTTTGTTAATGGTTATATGTGTTACCAGTGGCTCATTTCATCCCAATTTCAAACCTCAACTACCAGGGAAGCAGCCTAACTTAGGTCTAGCCCATCACAGCTGTGATTTGCATCACTGGAGGAAATCCCTACGTCAGTAAGATCTCAGCAGCAAAAGCAGCAGACATTTGACTGTTCTGGGTCATTTGGTGGTGGGCGGAGGACCAGCCATGCTTCTTTCTGCCTGGGGCAGCCCCTAGGTTAGGGAATCCTATGGCTCTATGTGTTTTGATCAGAACTCTCACACTGACCTCCATCACTCATGTAAAAATTAATTCAGCTCATCCAGAGGAAGAAACAACAACCAGGCAGTGAACTGAGCTAGGAAGCCAGGGTGAGTGGCTGCACTGAGATAGAAAGAAAAGTCAATTTTATTTATTGTGCTTTGCAGATATTAACATTTTTTTACAAATTTAAGGTAGGTGGCAACCCTGCATCGAGGAAGTCTATTGGTACCTTTTTTCCAGCAGCTTGTGCTCACATTATGTCTGTGTCTATGTCACATTTTGGTAATTTTTGTAATATTTCAAACTTTTTCATTATTATTATATCTGTTATGGTGATCTGTGATCAGTGATCTTTGATGTTACTATTGTAATTGTTTTGGGGTTCCACTAACTTCACCCATATAAGATGGGGAAATTAATCAATAAATGTTGTGTGTTCTTATTGTTCCCCCAATCCTATCTCTCTCTTTCTCCTCAGGCCTCCTTTGTTTCTAGAGACACGATATTGAAATTAGGCCAATTAATAATCCTAAATGGCCTCTAAATTCTTAAGCAAAAAGAAGAGTCAATCATTGTGGCAAACTTCATTGTTGTTTGTCTTATTTTAAGAAATTGCTGTACTCACCCCAACCTTCAGCAATCACCACCCTGATCAGTCAGCAGCCATCAACATCGAGGCAAGACCTTCTACCAGCAAAAATATTATGACTGGCTGAAGGCTCAAATGATGGTTAGCATTTTTTTTTAGCAATAAAGTATTTTTAATTAAGGTATGTACATTGTTTTTTTAAGACATAATACTATTGCACATGTAATAGACTACAGTATAGTGTAAACATAACTTAATAAGCACTGAGAAACCAAAAAATTTGTGTGATTCTCTTTATGGCCATGTTTGTTTTATTGCAGTGGTCTGGAACTGAATTTGCAATATCTCCAAGGTATGCCCATACCTTGTTGAGAAAGGGTAAACAATTTCATCGCCTGAGGCTCCACTCACAGTCCCTGTGACTCTCTGCATCATGACACCCTTCTATGGCTCCCACACCACTCTATATATTCCCTATTAGAATGTAAGCACATTGATGTCTTTGTGTCCCCGTCATCTATCACAATGCCTGACACATAGTAAGCACTTCCTTGTCCTGTCAGTTCAGGTGTAATTATCTATGTCTGGTGCACGACTTCTCTTTTTAGATTTTATTTTTTTAAAGTTATTGGCAACCAGAGAAAATGGCTCATTCACCATCTTCTTAGTCACATTACCAGACCCTTTTCTTACAAAGGCTTCATAATGTCAATTGCATCAAGTCTAAGTTCCACTCAGTGCCCTCACTTGCCCCATCCAGCTGTTACTTACAGGTGCTCCCTTCCTCCTGTCATGCTTTATCTACAGATGTTCCCAATAAGGTCTCTCCCTTCACTGTTCTCAAGGCATTCTATACTTAGTCCTGTTTTATGCCTTTGTTGATGCTATTGCCTATGGCTGGAATGTCCTCTTTCTAATAGATGTTACTCATGCCTGAAAGTCCAACTCCAATCCTCCTTCTTTAATGAAACCTTTCTTGGCTTTTTGGGACCACAGATTTCTCCCTACCTGTCTGAAACCCAACATTTAATGAATGTCCTGCAGTATTTTCTAATTTTCTCGTGGGTATATTGTCTCACCAATAGGAATGTAACTTCCTTGAAAAGAGATCTACCTAGAGGTTCTGTGGTACAAGGTAAAGGGCAGGGGCTCTTGAGTCGGAGGAAATGGGTTCAGATTCTCTTTCTGACCCTTCCTACTTGGGTGACCTTGGACAAGTTACATAACTCCTCTGGGTCTCAGTTCCTTTACCTCTAAAATGAGTTAAGTTGGACCTAAGGTCTACTATAGAGCTATGATCTCATACTTACTTTGTGTCTCCCATAGTATATACCAGTGCTAGGCACACAATAAGTGCTTAATAAATACTTATTGGACTTAATTATAATCTCAGAAAATCACATCCCTTAACAATTGCAAAAGTTCACAGCACTCATGAAGAAGACATGCTAGTTTTTTGAAAGATGCTGAGAATTGATCTTGTCTCCTACTTTACATTTGGAGTTCAGAAGCTTAGAATGTTAGCTCCTGATTTTAAAATACCACTTCATGTCCACACCTGAGAGGCCTTTAAGATTCACTTTGACAGCACTGGAATAGTATGACCAGAAATTGCCATCTACATCTTGTTAGACAAGAAATCTGCCAGGAGCAGAAATGCTAAAAAATTTAAACACCATTAACATTTGTGCTCCAGTGTCTACTTAGATGGCATAGTGAATAGAGTGCTGGGCCTGGAGTCAGGAAGACCTGAGTTCAAATGTCACCTCAGATCCTTATTAACTGTGTGACCCTGGGCAAGTCACTTTACCCTGTTTGCCTCAGTTTCTTCATCTGTAAAGTAAGCTGGAGAATGAAATGGCAAACTGTTATGCAGGAGTTGCACTGAATATTTTCTTAACTGGAAGAGACATCTGCTCCTGGCATTCGTAGGACAGGTGACTGCCCTAGACTCCATCCACAGTCCCTGTGATTCTCCATATCAAAACCTCACTTATGTGGCTCCTATGATCCAGTTGTAGGTTATATGCCCCTGTGAAAATATAAGCACCTTGAGGGAAGGGAATGTCTATTTTGTGTTCTCAGTATCTAGCACTATGTGCCTGACACATAGCAGTTTCTTAAGAAATAAATGTTTATTAATTCATTCATTTGATTATTTATTCATTCATTCATTCATTCATTTCCTAAACAAGATGGATGCTAGGTCTGTCTCCTAATAATGATTAAATGTCACACAGCGCCACCCAAAATAAAGACATTCTTCATCAATGTTTGTTTTTAACCAGCTTGCCAGCTGAATTGGTGATAAATGTTCATGATCCAATTAATACATTTAATTTATTTTTTAAATATCTATTATCATTTTATTATTAAACATTTATTTTTTATAGTTTTGTTGTTGTCTTTGTTCTTACACTACAATCACTTCCCTTTGATCCTCCTCCTCACCTCTGTATTGAACCAACCCTTGTAACAAATCAAACAATCAATAAAGCAATTTACTCCAGACATTGTGCTACAGTCTGGGGATACAAATACAGAAGTGAAAACAGTTCCTGCCTTCAAGGCACTTACAGTCTAACAAAGAAAAACATTTGAACTAAACCAACTAACACAGTAACAGGCATCACCACATTCCACAACTACAGTCCCCTACATCTCTATTGAGAGCAGAGAGGCCATCCTTGGGCTTTCTGGTGACTGCACTCCTGGTATCTTTTTTTTTTTTTATGCTAGCACTGCTCTCAGGGTAGCCTGCTGTTTCTGTTCCAGTCTCTTCTCCAGTTTCCCCTCCCACGTCCCTGGTTCCAGAACCTTTTCCTCCAGATTGCCTTGCAAGCAGGAGCTTGTAGGCAGCTGCTCTGTACTTTTTTGAAATGAGATTGTAGAGGACAGGGTTGATGGATGCACTCAGGTAGAAGAGCTGCAGAGCCACAATATTGAAGTACTGGGAGAAGTGCATTGTCCTGGAATCTTTGGTGTTGATGTAAATGATCCTGCCAACATGAAAGGGCAACCAGCAAACTATAAATGCCAGAACCACCACCACTGCGAAGAGAAACAGACACACAAATTAACAAAGGCTCTTGCAACACAATTATGCTTCACTTAACATTCTTGGGATTTATCTAGGGAGTAACCATTTGTTTCATAAGCAACAACAGAATAAACAAGAGAGAAATTTTTCTAATCTAACTTCCATCTACTGTATAAAGCCGACTTCAATACACACGAGTTTTAATTAGGATCACCCATGGGGATGAGTTACATTTTAAAAATGTGATATCCAAAAAGGACAAAAGCCAGAACAAGTCACTTTGGTAACCTTGATTCAAAAAAAAAAGCTTCTCAGGTATTGTAAAGATGGTTACTTTACTAGGTATCTGATTAATAATGGAGCTGTACACCTTTGGAACCTTTAACATTTTACCTTGGCCTTTAGAGCAGTTCACCATGTGGACAGACCGAGTTAGGGGTGAGGCTGGACAGAGGCACCATAGGTAGAACACTGAAATTATCTAGGGCAAAGCAAAACTAGACTAAAGATTCAGTTATTAATTATTCCATAGTAGGCAGGAAGTAGCTCAGAAATGTCAGGATCCTAGAGTTTGAGGGCACATCTGAAGTCATCTAGCCCCTTCCATTTTGCAGATTAGGAAACTGAGGCCCAGAGAGGTTAAGAAACTTGTCTAAATCACAGCAGTGGTGTTAGAGGCAGGATTCAAACTCGGGTAATCTGACTCCAAATTCAGCACTTTCCTCTGCGCTAAAATGCTTCTTGTTTGGAAATCTGACCTCTTATTTATATTCACATTTAACAAATACATGCTGTATTAAGTTCTGACAGTGAATCACAAGATCCTTAGCCCCAAAGAGGCCACGACCTAGTGGGGGAATTTAAAGAATAGACCCAAATAGCCATAACACACAGCAGAATGTGATAAATGCAGGAGAGGTAGAAACAAAATACTAGGCACAATCTGAGGAGGGGGAGGTCTTTTTTTGGGGGGGGGGGGTAAGATTGGGAAGGTCTTGATCTTGGCTTACCCAGAGCCAGAGATAGCTTTTTTGGGACCAGATAATAGGACCGAAGTAAAGAGATTACCTGTAAAATAGTGTCTGTCTTGGGATAGTGAAAGAAAGTTTCTGGGCAGTCTATAGTTTTTTGTTTTTGTTTTTTAGTTGTTGTTGTTTTTCAAAAACACCCATATCAAGACCCTAATTGGTCAAACAAGATGAAAGCTCCTTGGGGGCTAGGTTAGTTTTCTGGTTTTATTTGTTTTTAATCCTTGGTTATCACTTGCACACGGTAGGTCTCAATAAAAGTTTGTGGAGTTGAGCTGGGTTGATTTGGGGATACACATTGGAGAGTTGAATGTGTATTCGAAGGAGAAGGGAAAGGAAGTAGGAGAAAAAGAAAGGAGAAGATGAAAGAGGAAGAAAAAGAAAGGAAGAAAGAAAAGTAAAGGAAAAAGAAAAGGAAGGAGAGAAAGAGGGAAAAAAGGATTCAGAACAAAGAAAAACGGAGACAGAGGAGGAAGAAGCGAGCCTCGAGGAGTAAAGGGAGGACGAGCAGGAGGCTTCCCACCTTTCTCCCGACGCCCACTTCCTCCGAACTCTTCCCTTACCCAGGACCCTCACGGTCTGCCGATGGTCCTTCTCCCGGCCCGTGACTGCCTGCCCCTGCAGCGGAGCCCTGCTCCTCCACAGCGCCCGCCCGATCAGTCCGTAGAGGACACTGAGGCAGAGCATGGGCAAGAAGAAGTAGGCGGTGGTGACCCAGAGCATGACGCGCAGGACGTCCAGATGCTCCCGGCTTGGCCGGCACTCCCGACTGAACATCACTGCCGCCGCCGCGCTCCCCGATGGAGCGTCCTGGGAGGGCGTCCCGGCGGAGGGCCGGGTGGTCTCCGAGGGCAAGGAGGGAGGGGCTGCCGGCCAAGTGCTATTGGCAGCCAGTGTCCCGCCCTTCGCTCGGTCGGGGGCTGGGTCCTGCTCGACGCCCACTAGAAAGAAGAAGGGGCCGGCAGAGAGCAGCGCTACGGCCCAGAGCACAGCAATGAGCGCTCGCACGCGGCGGCGGGTGATGAGCACCCGGGCGCGCAGTGGGTAGCAGATGGCCAGGTAGCGCTCCACGCTCAGCGCCGTGATGTGCAGCAGGCTGGCGTAGGTGCAGCCCTCGCTTAGGTAGTGCGAGAGGCGGCACAGCAGCTGCCCGAAGACCCACGGGCGGGAGCGCCACAGGCGGTACAGGTCGAAGGGGAGGCCGAGCAGGATGAGCAGGTCGGACACGGCCATGCTGCCCAGGTACAGGTTGGTGGTGGTTCGCATGTCCCGGTAGCGCCGGATCAGCAGCACAGTCACCACGTTGCCGCTCACCCCGACGGCAAACAAGCCCAGGCACACGACCGTCACGGGCACCAGAGCACTCAGGGGGAAGGGAGAGCAGCGGCTCTCGTCGCAACGGGGCAAGGACCCCTGCTGGGTCTCCGGGGCTGCGCCATCGGTGCTATCGCAGCTGCTGTTCCAGGGGCCACCCATGACCGCTGAAGGGCAAGCGGGCTGGCTGGGGGACTTTAGCGCATTCTGCAGGGGCCCTTATCCACGAGCGAGTGTTTCTCCCTTCTCGCCTCCTCTTAAAGGAGTTAGGAGACTGGGGTGGAATAACGGGATAGGGCAGATGCTTTGGTCGCCCTTCACTGCGCGGGTCTCAGGCACTGCCACCGCTGGTGGAGACCAGCCTAAGCCTCTTCTAACCTGACCCTGCAGTCTCCGCCTCCTTCTCCTGCCCACTTCGAGCTCCCCCAGTGCCTGCTTCCTGACAGACCCTAGGACACTTGGCATTCATCTGTCTCCACTTGCGACATGGAAGGGCAGGTGCTCTTGCTGCCTCTTGGAAAGAGAGTTTTGAACCTTAATGAAGTTATCTTAATGGGCGCAGCATTTGTCAGGGGAGAGGGAAAAAAAGAGACCAACTAATGAAGTACTGTGCGCTCAGTCTCTTCGGCATAATCTCTTTAAAACAATATTAGCTTTGAGCTCACCTCAATGCAACATGGTGTGGGGAAAGAACATTGGACCGGAAGTGAAGAGAGCTGGGATTCTTGTCCCGGATCTGATACCAAATAACTTTAGAACAGGTCTTTTAACTTGGGTCTCAGTTGTAAAACCAAGGGGGTTAGACTAGAAAGCCGAGTTACTTTTCAGCACTACTATCCTATGAACCATCCTACCCTCTTACCTCTTCATTGAAAGAAAACAAAACTTAAATATAATTTATTATATACGCAATATTAATATCTATGTGTTGTTGTTCAGTTCTGTTGACTCTTTGTGACCTTGTGGGCATACCCATCCGTCCATGGAGTTTTCTTGGCAAAGATACTGTAGTGGTTTGTCATTTCTTTCTCCAGTGGATTAAGGTAAACAGAAGTTAAGTGACTTGCCCAGTGTCACACAGCTAGTAAATGTCTGAGACCAGATTTGAACTCGGGTCTTCCTGACTCTAGGGCAGATGCTTTATCCACTGAGTTACCTAACTGCCTCTGGGTACATATACATAATTATTTTATAATTTACAGTCAGACCACTGATTAACATTGAGAAACCCAATCCCTTCTCAAAAGTTCCTTGGTTTTGTAATATGCTTACTACTTATTGGTACATGTACTACCTTGAATTATTTTAAAAAATTAATGCCTTTTATTTCTATATGACATTTATTTCCCTTCCCTGCCTGCTGAACCTTCTCATGTACTGTGAGTTAACAAAAAGCACCACCACCAAGTTAAGCCACACCTACCAACATATTACTTGAGTCTGACTGTATTTGCTCTCCATACCTACCTGTCAATCAATTAACTTACTAAAGGAAGTGCCTCTTATGTGGCAGGCTCTGTGAAAAGCCCTGGGGATACAAAACCAAAGATGAACTGGTCCCTTAGTGGAGAATTTTTATTCTCTATCATGTGAGACAATGTGTATGTATACTTTTATATAAAGAAAATACATAAAACTTAGTCTCGAGAATGAGAGGGCACTAGCTGCTGGGGTGGGGGTGGGGGAGTTCAGGAAAGGCTTCATCTAGGAGTGGTCCTTAGCTGAGTCTTAAAGAAAGAAAGGGATTTTAGGAAGTAGAGGTGAGGGGAAAGTGCGTCCTAGGCATGGGGGACATGCCGGGGAAAAGGTAAGGAGATAGAAGATGAAGTATAGTTTGTGAAGGACAGCAGGAAGGCCAGTTTGGATGGACTGACCAGCATAAGAAGAGGAGTAATGTAGGTTCCGTTCAGGTTTAAGGGCTTTAAATGCCAATTAGAAATATATATTTTTCCTACAATCAATTTTCCTGTAAGAGAACCATTGGAGTTTGTAGAATAGGAGAGTGATATAGTCAGACCTGTGTTTAAAGAAATCCCTTTGCCATCTTTATGGAGTGTGGATTGGGGAGGAGAAAGACTGGAGGGAGGGAGACCAATTAGATGTGAATAGAGTGCTGGACCTGAAGTCGGGAAGTCTTGAGTTCAAATTCTGCTTCAGATACTTTCTAGCTGTGTAATCTTGGGCAAGTGACTTAACTGCTGTCTGCCTCAGTTTCCTCAGGTGTAATAATAGCACCTATCTCCCAGAGTTGTGAGGATCAAATGAGATATTTGCAGAACACTTAGAATAGTGCCTGACACATACTAGGCACTTAATAAATACTTGTTTCTTCCTATTGCAATGGTCCAGCAATCCTGGGTTCTTACTGCTACACAGCGGTCCTGTTACTCTTCACTGATTGATTCTCTATCAATTCCTCACAGCAACTGTTCCAAATCTCTTTTCAAGTGACTTGTGCCATTCCTAATGAATTTATTAAGTACTTATCATGTGCCAAGCACTGAGTATACAAGCACAAGCAAGCAAGACAGTCCCTGCCTTCAAGGCCAGCATTTTAATGGGGTGATGCAACTTTTAAAGAGATGATCACGGCTGGAGCCCCTCTTGATATTGTGTTTGGGGCAGTCACCAATCAGGAGAGGGGCCTCAGGATGGAGATTTCTCCAGGATGGCCAGGTAGTTGGTGAACCTCTCTCTTTAAATTTCAGTCCCTCTTTTTCCACCAACTTCAAATCCCATCCTTGAAACACCTTCATGTGACTCTGCCGTTCCTTCAATCTCTTGTCCCTTCTCTCTTTCCTTTCACAGTCAAGCTAAGAGGAAAAAGCCATCTACAGTTGTTGTCTTCCCTTTTTCATATCCCATTTGCTTTTCAACCTCTTGTAGTCTGGCTTCTGACACCAGCCAAATCAACAATTATTTCTAACTTTGCCAAAGATCTCTTAACTGCTTCATCCAGTGGTCTTTTATCAATTCTCATGCTTAACTTATCTGCAGTATTTGATCCCATTGACCATTCTCTCTTTTTGGATACTCTCTTCCTCAAGTTCTCCTACCCTGTTTGACCATTTTTCTCAGTCTCCTGTGCTGGATCAATAGCCGTGTCCACCCCCTATGTATGGGTATATGACAGAACTTTGTTCTAGGTCTTCTTCTCTCTATATTTTCTTTCTTGGTGATCTTATCAATTTCCATGGGTTCAATTATCAAATCTATGTAGACTCCAAAATCTCCCTCAGACTCCCTTTCTCTCTTAAACTCTGCTCACCCATCATGAACTACGCATTAGACATCTCCATCTGGATGCCCCATAGCCATCTCAAATTCAGTGTGTCCAAAATGGACATTATCTTTTCCCCGTGTGTTTCCTTCATTGTCTTTTTTCTATAGAGTGCACCACCATCTTTTCTGGGCACAGGTATATATTCTCATCAATCTGTGAAGCCAGCACCTTTGTTGACAAAGGCTGATGCTTAAGTGCTCCTAAGGGCAGCATGTTTCTAAGCACTTGGACTGTCATCATGGCTCCCCTATCTCCACCTTCAAAAGTTCACATGTATTCCCACATCTGATCTTGCCAGCCTCTGCATGCCCAGTGTGTCAGCCCAGGATTCTGATAGGGCAAATGGAGCTATTTCAGGAAGTCAGTGTACTGGCAAGGAGGCTGGGTCCCTGTGCCTAGTTGTTATATTCTTTCATGGAAGTCTTACTCCAGTACCTCATGAGGATGTGAAGGGATCCTGGGGTGCTGGAAGGTTTTGCCAGCAGAGTGCAAGCTTTAGCAGATCCTATAAAACTGAAAACTCTGATTACAAACCTGTCAACTGGATGTGTTTTGCCCACAGCGGGAAAAAAAAGCAGCATTTAGCTAGTTGGTTTTATTGCTCAGAGGGTTAAACACAAGGTGATGAATTTCTAAGGCAGTCAGTCAACTAGCATTTATTAAGCACCTACTATATGCCAGGCAGTTGCAGCTAGGTGGTGCACAGCAGCTAAGTGGTATATTGGATAGAATGCCTTTGCGAGGAGTAAGGAAGACTTGAGTTCACATCTGGCCTCTGTGAGTTTAAGTAACTTGACCAGGATCACACAGCCAGTACATGTCCAAGGTGGGACTTAAACCCAGGTCTTCCTGGCTCTAATGCCAGCTTTTTTATCCAGGTTACCTCTTGAGCTCTGAATACTTGATATAATTCCCTGTTTATTGAGTTCACCATCTCTAGTAGGGGTTCTGTTCTTGACTGATCCTTTGGATAATTGCTAGAAAATTTGGTCTTCATGTTTTGTTAATGCCCCTTGACCTGGTTTGGAAGGTCTCTTTCCTCGCTTCATTTCATCTCGTCATTCTAATTCCTCCAAGAACACCAGGTTTTTACAGTTATCTGTAATTTTTTAATGTTATGGCATTAGGAATACTCTCTGATAGGGCAATATTTTATATGATAGGGCAATGTGGGTATAGAATAGTGTGGAGAAAAGCAGCTGAGTAGAATAGGCAAGAAAACATCAAAACACCCTAATAAATGGATGAATGTTTTTTTCATTCATTTATGTTCACTCATTTATAAATAGAGAGTCAATCAATCAACAAGTATTTATAAAGCATCTACTATGTGCCAGGCACCATGCTGGGGATATAAGTACAAAGAATGAAACATTGCCTACTTGCAATGAGCTTATATTTGAGTAACTACTCAGTGAAACACATCCTTTCTTCTGTATTCAATGGATTTGAAATTTCATGGGTATACCTATTTCCATGGGTTTTCCCTTTACTTGAAAGAATTGGAAAGGTGTATGTGTCCTCTTATCTTGTGCATTTCTTGTCCACATCTTTCCATAAATCCCCTGGAGGGGATACATGCTACAGAGGAGGACTTCTCATTGTTCTTTTCTAGGCAGCTAGATTTCTAGATGAAGTGGACAATGGGCCTGGAGTTAGGAAGACCTGGTTCAAATCTAACCTGAGCCTTACTAGCCATAAGACTCTAGGCAAGACACAACCTATATGCCTCAGTTTTCTAATCTGTAAAAGGAGGCTAATAATAACACCTATCTTCCAGGGTTAAGAGATAAAATTTGTAAAGTGCTTTGTAAATCCTAAAGTACTGCATAAATGCTAGCTAATGGCTATTATCAAATATAACATTTGGGCTTTGTAT